AGAGCTAGGAGGCCTGTGTGGTGGGACTGAGCAGGGGAGAGCGGTAGGACGTGGAGTCAAGGTGGTGGGAGGAACCAGTGGTACAGATCACGGCTGTAAACACTTTGGCTTTACTCTGAAACGGGAATCTTTGCAAGGTTTTGAGCAGAGGAATGATGTGGCTTGGATGGTTTTTAGTAGGGTCACTTAGGCTGCTGTAGAGACTAGATTGGGGAGGGAAGCAGGGACACCTATTACTAGTAGATCAGGTAATGAGCATCCCTACAGCCACCAAAAAGGCTGACTTCAAAGATGATGATGACAGCCACCATGGAAGTGCTCACATTTTCCTGGTGGGCCTGGTGAATATGCCGGGCTGTAGGGAGGGTTTCACAAGCATCATCTCCTAGTCTCAGGACAGCCTGAAGAGGGCAGAGCTATCACTCACCCTGAGGCTCAGCCCTGTCAGAGGTGACTGCTCAATAAACACTTGCTCCTTCAGTCTTTTTTTTTTTTTTTGTAAAATAAACATAACATACAATTTACCATTTTTAACTGTATAGTTCATTGGCATTAAGTACATTCACGTTGTTGTACAACTATCACCATTATCCATTTCCAGAGTAGTCCTGAAGTCTTTGTTGTTATTGGCATCCTAAGCCCCAGTCCAGTCTCACTCCCCTACCTCAAGCAGCCAACTCCTCTAGGGTAGTCCGTAACACTTAAAAAACACCTATCGTGTGCCGGACAATGAATGGAATGACTGAGGGTCCTGTTCTCCTTGCCCCTTTAGTCGGGGAGACTCTGGTGATGGGGAAAGAAGCACCAGGTAACTATTGCTGCAGTCCTGAAACCAAAGATAACTCTTGAACATACAGGCCTCACACTACCACCATTGGATCAATCGTGTATTCAGAAAGTGTTCAATACTCTGTGCCAGACTCAGTAAATATTCGTGTTTGTTGAATGGATGGTTGGATGTACCTGCTTGACCCTGACTTCTCATTTTCTCTTGAGGTCATCATTTGGGAGTAGTTGGAAGTGGGTCCAGAGAGGTTTTTGTAAATGCTGGTCTATAGCTATGTGACCTTGGAAAAGTCCCTTTCCTTGGTTCGGCCTCAGTTTCCTGGTCCCTTTAGTGCAGGAACCAGATATTAAACAAATAGACAATGTTAAGAGATTGTGTAACAAGAGAACCTAACTTAGGGTGTCACAGAAGACCTCCCTGAAGAGGCGGTATTCTTGGAAGAGGTGAACTTTAAGCTAAAATTTGAAAGATGAGTAGAAGCTATTCAGAGTGAGAGTGAGGTAGGAGTGGAGCCAAAGGACAGAGATTCTCTACAGGGGACTAGCATGTTCTGAGTTCTTGAAAGTACCAGATCTGTTAGAAATGGCTTGAGTGTCCATTCCAGAATTCTTCTTAAGACCTTTGCTGTTTAAGCTCAGTCTTTTGCAGGGCTGCCAGATAGCCCTTTACAGGCCTGGCTTGTAGACAGAGAACAGGCAGATCCAACGTGGGGGGAGGCCAGGAGAACTACCACCCCTCATTCTTCTGTTAATGTTCTATGTTGACAGAGTAAATAAGAAGAGGGTCTTCGGTCCCAGATTTTACTCCTTTATGCTTTTTACTTTTTTTTTTTTTTTTTTTTGAATAGGCATCATGCCAGAGTGGTCTTGAGGCAGCTCAGGAGTGGTTGGAATCTCTGTGTGCCTCTGGGCAGGTGTTAGCTATCTTTGCTGAGCCTCAGTGTTCTCTTCTCAAAAATGGGAATACTGATAGCTTTTAGCTCATGGGATCATTTTGAAGACGTGACCTAAGTCATGTAAAGTGTTTAGCACGGAGCTGGATACTCAGTAAGGGAAAATGTTTGCTGGGATTAAATAAGAGTACGGTGGTCTGGCATACATAAAATATAGAAACTTCCATTGTGTCTGTATGGGTAACATCAGTTTGACCAGAATTAGATAAGTTATTGTACTAAGAGTTCTTTTAAAAAATCATATAGGTCAAATTCTCATTAAAAAAGTGAAAAATAGCTTGTATCTTGGTCATTTCTAGCCCCCTTGACCCTTCACGTAGGTGTGATCAGCACTGGAAAAGATGCCAGCCGCAGCTGCCGCATATGAAAGAATAGTTTACAGAAATCCCTCTGAGCACCACTACATGAAAGTCCACCTGTAAGTTCAGTCTCCTGAGTTTTATTTTCGACTACTTTTTTATGAATGTGAATGGCATGAAATTTAATGCAATGCATTTTTTAAAAAATATTTTTTAACAGAGAATTTCAAGATCATGGCATTGGACTGAATGCCGCACAGTTCAAACAGCTGCTTATTTCAGCCCTGAAGGACCTGTTTGGAGAGGTATGGAATCACTTGGTAGTTTGAACACTCCTAAGGTCTTTGTAAGACATAGTGAAAGGACACTTTTCCCAACATTATTTTAAAACTTTAAAACCACATTTGAAATTGCAGAAGCAGACTTTCAGAAGTGGTGAGTTTTGTGTAGGTTTGTTCTCATATGCCTTCTAGTTGACAAGAACTTGTTAGACAAATGTTTAGTGTAGTGCAACTCAAAGTATGGTGTAGACTGGCAACCTGCAAACTGCTGGGGGTTTTTTGCCTATTGTGGCTTGTACCAGAATGTAAATGAGCACACCGTTTCCTTTACTGAGACAGTCTCCAATGAAAAAAAACTGAGCTGAACTAAACAGTATGCTCACTGATATTGTTGATTTCCACTCTGGTGCAGCTCCTTATCAAGACCAGCCCTTTGAGTAGCCTGTTTTCTCATTCAGTTGAAAACAAGTAGAGTTTTGAAGAGAGAACAAAGACAGATGATTCTCAGGAAATTACTTCCTGATACATATTCTATCAAATTAAAATCTGTCATCAAAATAAAAACTTTTACTCTGCAAAAGATTTGGTTCAGAGGCTAAAAAACAGACTACAGACTGGGGGGAAGATATTTGTAAACCACATATCTGACAAAGGACTAATATCTAGAATATATAAAGATCTCTTAAAACTCAGTAGTAGAGAAAAAAACCCAAACACTCCAATTAGAAAATGGGCAAAAGTGAGAGTTCCTTGGTGGTCTAGTGGTTAGGATTCGGCGCTTTCACTGCGGAGGCCCGGGTCCTATCCCTGGTTGGGGAACCATCCCGCGTGCTGTGTGGCATGGCGCGGCACAGCCAAAATACAAAAAAAAAAATTCTTAAAAATGGGCAAAAGATATGAACAGACATTTCACTAAAAAGGGTGTACAGTTGGCAAAGAAGCACATGTATGGAAAGATGCTCAGCATCATTAGCCATTAGGGAAATGCACATTAAAACCACAGTGACACATTACTACACACTTAGCAGAATGACTGAAATGAAAAATAGTGATAACACTAAATGCTGGTGAGGACACAGAAACTAAATCACTCATACATTGCTGGTGGGCATGTAAAATGGTACAGCCACTTTGGAACACAGTTTGGCAGTTTCCTTTAAAAAACTATGGTAGTTTTTTTTAAACTACCGTACAACCCAGCAATTGCATACCTGGCTGTTTATCCCAGAGAAATGAAAACTTATGTCCACACAAAAACGTGTACACAAATGTTCATAGCAGCTTTATTAGTAAGAGCCCCAAAATAGAAATAAGCCACATGTCCTTCAGTGGGTGAATAGTTAAACAAACTATGGTACATTCATACCATGGAATATACTCGGTAATGAAAAGGAATAAACCATAGATACACCTGACAGATTGACCGCATCTCTAGAGAATTATGCTAAGTGAAAAAGCCAATCCCAAAAACTAATATACTGGGTGATTCCATGTATATAATGCTCTTGAAATAACATAATTATCATAATTATATAATCTAGAGAAAGATAAGTATTTGCCTGGGTTTAGGGATGAGGAGGAGTGGTGGGTATGGCTGTAAAGGGGGTCGAAGGACAGAGCCTTGTGATGCTATAGCTCTTTATCTTGATAATGGTGATACTTAAATTAAATTACCTGTATGGTAATATTGCATAGAACTACACATATATACGTGTAAACAAATACAAGTGCATGTATAATTGGCAAAATTGGGATAAGCTCTGATTTAAATTTCGGTTTTCTGGTTTTGATATTGTACTGTAGTTATGCAAGATGTTGACACTGGGGGAGGCTGAGTGAAGGGTGCATGGAATCTTCCTGCACATTTTTTCTGCAATCTCATGTGACTCTAATTTTTCAAAATAAAAAGTATGAGAAAAAAAAATCCATGCACCCTCTATATGTCAAGTATAAAACCTGGTTCCTGGGGATGTATTTGTAAACAAACAGACATGGCTTTTTCCTCATGGTCTTGGTTATTTTAGTAGGAAACCATCTTGAACAATTAATGGCAAGAATGATGAGTATCTTGAAATAGGAGGTATGTGGGTCCTGTATGTGAAAGAGTG